CAGGTTTGCAGTCTTCTACTTCCACTTGTACTTCTGCATATTCATTCCCTCGTGTCTCAAGGCCCCCTCCTTCCACTCCTCGTTCCATTGTTTCTCTTAATCATTTCCATTCTTATTCTCAGGAGATATCTTATGGGCCGGTATGTGGACCGAGACGTTCGTATCTCATTACCTTCACGATCTGGAAATTTCCTCTTTGAGGGGACTTCATCTTTCCCCTGTGGCTGTGTTCACTACCTCTACTATATTTTAAAAGGGTGGTGAGTAACGTGTTATCTAACTTACAGTTATTGTTCCTTTCTCTTCTAGAGTCCCTACTAATATTTTTTTTAGCCAGCTCAGTGGCGAGTGTTGCCCAGTTGGGTATGCTTGTCTTTAAATTCCGCACTAGCAACCTTTATATCAATTCTCGGTTGCAATGGGCTCTGTTGAGATGAGGTGTTCCATAGGACCATCTGCATGCAATTTTGAATGGTGCTATCATATTACAATATTTCTAATGGACTGCTACTCATGGACTATCATGAGTAAAGCTAAAGGGGATTTTGCCAGTCCCTGCTGATCTTAGAGCTGAATCAGTCATCAGCTTGCTTTTAAACATTATGGAACATGGTTCACCTGTTGCACTGTCTCCGGAGACCTGTTCCTCTGGACTCCCCAACACTTATGTTCCCCCCTTACTTCTACTAGTGGAGCTTGAGAGTCCTTACCACACCCAGTTCCCAGTCACTGGGGTGGTGGACAGAGGATTTACCTTCAAAGTGTTGAGTTTTCTCCACTCTCAGAGAAGATGGGGACCCTCTTACCTAGGTCTCAGGAAATTTTTTCCCAGATGTCAGTAGGATGAGGATCAACCTACATGGGAGCCTATTCGTAAAGCCAGTCCAGATTTGACCTTTAGCTAACCGGTGGGGGGTGCTTGGACTCTTATGAACATTGTCAGGTCTTATGTTGTTCATGCAGGGGGTACACTATCTCCACATCCTCTCCTTAATTCCGTGGGTAAGCAGAATTCTCCTTGCCCACTTGGTGGGATAGTAAAGACCACTTTTTGTAAATCCAGACTGTATGAGTTCTGAACTTTGGTGGAATATGGCATATGATCCCATCAATCTAGACCTTGGGATGTTGCCTTTTGTACTTGTTTAGGTTGATCAGAAGGATTGTCCACTTTGATGTTGCTTTCTTTCTTTCATACATTCGTGGTTCGAAACACATCATTCTGTGGTTACTGATAGGGATCTTATCACAAAGATATATCTCTGGTCCAACTGCCTTGGCCACCAACATGGGATATGGGTACCATGACCCCTTAAATCCAACCTGAGTTGTGGAACCTCGGCTGTTTGGTTGGGGCTGGACCATCATACTTATATTCTATCATTTTCAATTTTCTGTAGTTCTAGATGTATTGTGGTGTTCCCCACTTTGATACCACTTCTTGTGGTACATATTTGTTCTCTGCAGATGCTTTCTGTATGACCTCTGTCCTCACTGGCCCATCCGCCTTCTTAGTGTGGTATTCTAGCGAAGGTGTGTATATTTTGG